TCATCACCAAACATGCTGCAGGATGCAGCTTGTGTTTACTTCTTTTACATGGTACTTAAATGAAAGCCTCCTATGGACTTATTTTATATCATAACAAATGTGCGAGTAAAACATGATCTGAGCAAATTTCATTTCACAGGAGCAGTAACTTTCCTCACATGTAAACTCAGAAGACGTGAGAAATTGTTTGCATCTGCTGCAGTTGTACCCTCCCGTGGGCAGCTCTCTGTGCTCCTAGAGAAATCCTGTTTTTTTTTTTTTTTTTTTCTTTCATTTAGCTTTATTAAGAGCAACAGAATGAAACATGGCACACATCAGCTTGACAAGAACACAGAAAGGAGTACAAAGGAAACAAACAAAGAAGATACAGCTTGAGCGTGTCATAAACACAACATGCCAGCAGTTTGAAATTGTTCTAACACACAGAGATATAGAGGTACATCAAAATGTTTAAATAGTGACACGTCTCTAAGGCGTTTTTATTCTTACTGTCGATTATTGATAAAATATAAATCTTTATATGCAAAAGTGGATTAATGAATTTAGAATTTGGACAGCGTAAGTAGCAGGTTTCTCCAGAGTTGGTTTGTAAACGAGAAACACCGAAAAAGTGCAGTTTATAATTAATATCACCTTTGACACTCTGCAAGTGGTTAGCTGGGTAGAACCTATGAAGCATTTTAAAGGAAACTTCCTTTACTTTGTTGGTCAAAAAAATTGGTGGTAACAGCCAGACTTTGTCCCAACACATATTTCCAACCAAGTATGGACCAGTATGATGGAGAAGAAGGGGGGCATGTCCAGTCTTGAAGAAATGGGACCCAAGTTGTCCTATCCTTCTTTTTAATGGCTGTAAGAAAACAAGCTTTGCTGGTTTCAGTTCCAGAGACCTGAGGAGGCACAAGCTGGGCTCTATTTCCTGTCACATGTCCAAGAAGTGAAAACAGTCCTGAGGAAATAGAGTCAAAAGTGTAAAAATTCAGCACAAGTAAACATATGTCCTTCTTTATTAAATAGT